CCCACTCCATCAGCATGGTAACTGAGAGAGACAAGTGACTTGGCCAGGGTTAACGTCTTAATACTCCCCGGGATTGCCTCCAGGATCCAAATGGCTACCCCTAATAGTTTTCCTCCTCTGTGTGCCTGTCAGACCGCCATGACTATATGCCGTAAGAAAAACAAGACTAGCTGAGAGGCAGCGTAACGAGGCAGCACGATGAAATAATGAGGGGTGGTGAGGAAGAAGAGAAAGCTTTGGTGTAAAGACGCAGGTACGAAGCGCTGCCTGATACTTTGCATGGAAAGCTTGCACACTTGAAATTAAACCAGCTCTTTTCCTTAAAGCCCAGGAGGGGGGAAACCAGAACTCAATCAGTGTCACGTCACATGGTTCAAAGCGGCCAATTCGATGCTGCCAGGAGGCTGAGAAATGCAAGGTGACAGTTCATTTTACCAGTGACAGTGTGTCGGTCTCGCTTGCTGGTTCCACAGTCAATTCCCAGCGAGCAGTGAAGGTTGAGTGTTGCTGTAGACAGACAGCAGCTTACCACCCTCCCCTCACACCACCACCTTCCTCCTCCTCTTCCTCCTCACCGCCGCTCTCTCATCGACCCTGCTCTGCTTTGTATTCCAATTAACTGGACAGAGGGAGAGGCGGCAGCGTTGCCGGATCACAAGCAAAGGCAGACACATTCTTCTGGCGTCCTTCCAGTCTCTCAATCCCACCACTATCAATAGTGCTGTGCTTCCCTTTTCCCCCCTTCACTTTCCCTCTCCTCTCGGCTTATGACAAGGGCCAGTTGTTCCAGAGGGGTAATTCATGGATTCTTCTTTAACAACTGCCTCTAGGGACAAAGTCCTGGTAATGAAAAATAGGTCCCTCGCTCACACATTCATACATCACATGTAATAGAGGTGTGCAATCACTCAGTCGAGTCAACGCACTGCTAGCTGTAACTGCTGTCCTTAACAGACACCTCAAATAATGCTGAATTAATATTTTGAAACGGCTCATATATCCTAACATAATACAATTTGAATGATTTTCTATTCAATGCTCTCAGGGCTAACATTGATTGGAGCACAAGCTGAGGTAACTCTCCGAGTCAGTCAATGTGAGGCTGACTGAAGGTTGTAGATTTAGCACAGCACATTTGCTCTCTTCTGTCTTTCGTGTCCTCAATCTATCATCACTTTTTTTTAACTTCGCCCCCCCCCTGCACTGACATATGTTTGAGCAATGGGTGGGTTGGGAATTCAATGATTCGGAGGAAATCTGAAGAGTAAACTACATCTTTTTTTTATCTCCTTGAGCAACACAAACATTTACAAGAGACTGTCAAGAATCAGGCCAAACACCTTTTTTTTTTTTTTTAAATGAATGCATTTAAATTTGCGCACCATCTTGAGATATATTCTATTTTGAAAGGTGAAGGAGTGACTTTAAGCTATTTTTGTGGCCAATTTGTTTGAAGGTGAGTGTCGCTTTCTTTTTAAACTACTTCCTTTTCCTCTTCTAAACTAAAGACAAACAGAGCTCGACAGACAGGTGTGGGTGCCTCTTTATTTGCCCCTCTGGACTGCCTATCTGGAGAATGCAGTGTTGTGTGTTTGCAGGACAGGATACACACACACACACACACACACACACACACACACACACACACACACACACACACACACACACACACACACATACCCTTCATGCCCTGAGGAGCCTCCTGACTCTCTCTCTTCTGGCTCTATCAGATCAGAGAGACCTGCTGTCCCTCCCCACACCGCAATGCAAATGAAAAGGAATGCGCTGATAAAAGGCCAGATCCCGGAGATGAGAGAGGGCAGAAGGAGGACAGAGGCAGCAAATGCTGAAGGGGGTGAGAGCCTCTTGGGGAGATGAGAGGCAGCAGAGGAGTCAGTGTTGGTAGTAGTGGGAGATCATAGTCTTGCTCCCCCTCGGCGGCGTTTGATACAGGGCTTTTGTCGCTCTTTCAGCGGTGCATTGTTGGGTGGTGTAATCCCCGTTGGATTACAAAGGGCTTCCCTTTTCATATGGGGCTGACCCAGCAGGCAGGTGGCTGGGGCTCTGTGGAGCTGTCAAGGGGAGGGAACCTCTTTTCCAGGGGAGGGGACCCCCAGTTCCTCTTACCTTCACAGGGGCTTTTTGCTGGAAGGCCAGTCAGGCACAGGTCAGTGTGGGACATCTGACATGGGATTCACTGCCTGACCCAGGGTTTTGGGAGAAGTGACAAGGAAGGACTCCATCATGAGACAGAATTTAACATGAAAACATGTGAAAACACGTGAAAGTATTGTTTGGTGATCAAAAAAAAAGATTTTTAAATAAAAACAGGATCATCGCAGCTGCAACGATTAAGATTAGAGTCAACATGCTGCATTAAGAGTTAAAAAATGCAAGTTTAAGATCTGAAATAATAAAAATCTTGTCTATAGTTTAAAATATGGTATCAGCCATACATCACTTGATTGATACGTCGTGTTTTCTGTCAATGTGAGCTGTGTCTGATTGAGCTTTGCTTATTTGATGGCTTTCCTCACACGCTTTCAGTAATAGAGGATCAATAACACAATAGCAACAACCACCAATATTTCTATTTCTAATATAGCTACTACCACAGCCTCCTCTGCTCATTTCAGCTGAGCCCAGTCCAATCCAGGTCATCCTCTGCTGGCAAACGTAACCATTCATCCAGGCCCTGTCAAATAGTGAGGGGCCAATTTAGTGAAGCTGCATTCATTTATTGTCATAAATATACTAATTAGTTTTTCAGCCAAAACCAAAGACCCATGAAAGTGTCATATTTAAGCAGTGAAACTGAGAATTTATGATACCCGCTTTGCCAAGATGTGCTATTTATGCAGAAGGTAATGTTTAACCAGTTAAATTCAGATTCAGTAACAAAGCTATATGTTAACTGCATCCCTGTTGATATTTATATTCTCATCTTAAAAAAAAAAGAAAAAAGAAAGACAGATTCAGAACACAATATCTACTAGAGGGAAAGCATTGAATCCCATTGGTTTATTCCTAAAAAATCTTCTTATCAATTAATTTACCATTAAAGATTGAAAGACTGGGCGTACTTGAACTCAGCATTTGCACAAAAACAAAAAGCGGTCAGTAAAATAAAACTTTAAAAAATTATCTTTCTGTGAAAGGTCGAGGAATTGTAGCTCACCTTTATCAGAATATGGTTCTGAAACGCTTTTATAACCACATTGGTAGTTCAGGATGAGGTTCAGGTTCAGTAGCAAAAACGGAAAACATACGCACTTGAAAGCCGCACGCAGGGAGAGCTTATAAGATCGCTATCTAAAATCACATTTAAAATAGCTTCCCACCTTTATTTCCACGTTAACTGGCAAGTATATAACCTTAACAGGAAAAATGATAGAAGATAAACATTGAAGGGCCATTTAGCTGACTTTAAAGAAGCCAAAATTAGCTAATAAACGCCTATCAACGATTGTAGCGAAGTTAGGCTAACTTAACTTAGCCTAGCATGCTAAATTAGGCTAATATAAAACTTGCATGGACAGCTAGACAAATTAAACAGCAGTTACTTTCATTATGAGAATAATAGTGCTAAGTTTTAGTTCTGGCCTGTGACTCCAGCTGTGCAGTATGTGCACTGAAGGCGACATAACAACAACAAGGTTTTCTAAATACTTCCTCCAGTTAATTAAAAAGCCAAGCACTTTCACCAGACTTTATTTAGCTAAATTAAACTTAGCTACTCTGGAGGTATATCATGATACATTTTTCATGTGTGTATTATCAATTTACCTAAATATTTTTTAAGGTAAATTAATCGGTTTACAGAGCTACGGTCAATGCTAGTAAATCCTATCACGATTAAAGTACACACAAGCTGTACTTTGGGCTGTAAATACCACAATTACAATCCTGTATACCTATAAGCCACAATATAAAATGAAGACTGACACCAGAGTTTTTAGAAACATGGGTTTTATTTTAATTTACAAGATAACCCAAGTAAGTCAAGTGCACAATTGCATTCTTGAGAGCACAAACAGGTCTGGCAGGAAGTAGCCTTTACTCTTACCTTACAATGTGTGGACAAGACCCAACAACTCTTTCACTGCCTCTGTGAAAGAGGCCAGCAGAGGTTGCAGAGCAGTGTAACACAAGTTATTGAATCATGTTACCTTGATATTTTGAGTTTTCTTAACTGTTGGATCAAACATCTAGGTTACCAATGCTTCCTTTAAGTCAGCTGCCTTAAAATGGAGGAGTTTTGCTGCTGACACTGTGATATATAAGTGATGTAGAAAAAATTTGTGTAGAAAAAAACCAAGAATTTTGCCCCAGATTGTGAGACTTGGTGTGGGCGTAAAAATGTGTTAAGTTGCAGTTTCTAGCAGAGTTTAAATGTGTTTTTTCAGCTAAAAAAAATAAGGCAAATTAAAAAGTGCTAGATTTTGATAACCCAGATGCACTAGGAGGGCCTGTAATTAAAAAAAATATTTGTAATATGAAGGTAAAGTTTTACATGGTTTCATTAAATATGCTAGAGCAGGGGTGTCAAACATAAGACTCCAGTCTGGCCCAATGGGGGGCTTTGGAATTTTAACTGTATTTTCATTTGTTTCCACTGATAAAGACCTCACCTGTAGCCATTCATATTACAACAAAGTAATTAAGTAACCAATAAATAAATATGAATTATTAAGAGTTTTACTAGCCTGGCCCTCTTAAGATCAAACTGGGCTGTATGTGGTCCATGATGGTCCTGTGCTAGAGTCTGAAAAATAAATGCTTATTCAGAGAGGGTCAGGTGGGAACCTTTTCCAGATTTGTTGATTTTTATGTGGAATAACTTTGCATTAGTTTCTAGTTTGCTTGTCTAGACGTGGTTGTGCATTTACCACATGCAGTTTTGTAATAACACCGGCAGGCAGCAGTTCATGTACATGACCTACTAAGCCTTATAAGCCAGACAGCGGTGGTTTTTTTTTTTTGTCTCATTGTCAGGCAGAGCTTCTTTGCTCTCAGCTGAGAAACCAGAATGCAGAGGAAGTTGTCATTTGTGCACCTGCTCCTCCCCGTTTTGTGCAAATGTTGATGCATGCACGGAAGTTTCATTGCAAAAGGCCACAGGTGGTGAGTTGATCTACAGTGTATGTGTGCCGGGTTCCTTTTTAAGTCTCATTGAGCTGTAACGGTACGTTAAAGACTGGAGCTACGTAGGCTACATTGTGGAGTAAAACCCAAAGCCTAAAGGAGCTGAATAAGTCTGATAAATCATCAAATTGAAGTTTTATTTTTTGGATAGGTGAACCAAAGGAATGGGGACAAATGTGGACGACTTCACGAGGCTTCTGTATGGTAATATCTTTATTTATTTTTTTACATTTAACATATCTTTCTTTCCCCATAGACAAGTTTAACTTTAAAGTCAGTTTAAGTAGGCACTCTTTAGAGTTGAGCTCCCACCTGTTGAGCACACAGTGTTATAGAGAACTTTTAACACTGCATCTTAACAATTTTCATAGATCTTCACTGCTGCCGTGACATTTACTACATTTGCATCCACTGCTAAGCCAGCCAACAGGCTTTTGGAAGAACATTTGCATGGGCCAGAACATCTCTGTAGAATATGAGTGGGTGCATCATGAAATTGAATCAGATAAGTGATGTTGACCGACCTGTTCTGGCCTTCATTATCATAAAGATTGGTGTCACATTTCTCTGTAATGTTTCCACCTCATCAAATCAAGTTTGCAGTTTACTTTAGAGGGATATGATAGCCTTATGTGTTTGCCCTTTTTTTTCTTTTAGTAAGTAAGTAGAAGGAAAGCATAAAGTATTGAGGTGCAGGTGACTAGTTGAAGGAAATATCTAAACTCTTGACCCAGACAGAGATGGCATCTCATGGTATTGTTTTGCTGGCTTGGTTTGAGTCACGTCTTTACTTAGAGTATTGCTGTTAAATATGCAACCCGGGGGCCAGAAGCAGCCAGTCAGAGTGTCAACTCTGACCTCGTGGATGGTTTGTTACCTATTGAGGTGAGATCAACATTACCACATTACCTAACAGGACTGAAAATGTATAGAAACCTAAATGTATTTCTAGATTTGGACAAGTTGTTAAGTGAGTTTCATTACATGACTAATCCAAGTAATCCAAACCATAGCGACATATTAATTACTAACCTTGTGTTACTGATGTATTGTCTCAGACGTTCTTCTGGATGAAATTTTATCCATTTTCGGCGTTTTCTTCCTGCCATGTGATGGCGATTGTTTCTGGCTTTCAGGGACCCACAACTTTAATTGAGAAAAATTTAACGCTCATTCTACATCTTAATTCTGCTAATGTGTTTGTGTTATCCTAACATAGCTTTGAGCTAGCCAACAAGTAGTGGATCATATGTCAGCTAACCCAACTTCACAAACATTGCTGATATTTAGTTTTCTATTAGCCAGCTAACTTAGCCAGCTAAACCTTGGAAATCCTTTCCTTCATGGATGTCTGCATTTTAAGCCTGTGTGAACACCCCGAGTGATCATTTATATTAAGTTCAATGTTTAAACTCTCAGTGGTTTCTCCCCATTTGTTTGACTTGGGGAACTGAAGAATTATTTGGACCTGAAAATGGCTAATGACATCAGACTTAACAGGTCAATAGTTTTTTCGTTCCTCAAAAATCTACATGTGGAGTTTCCGCAGCAAAACCAATACAAAGTTTTTCCTGGGTGATGATTTGCATTGTGATGGGAGTGGTCTCTACCAGTATAAGAAGTTATTAAAGGCTCACCGGATGGTTTGATAAGGTGAGTCATATGCTGTGGTCTTTGCAGTAACGATATCTTAACCATCTCACACCTGTGAGATTTTGGACTGGTGTTACAGTATTTGCACTGTCCTCCATTAAAACACCAGTGGGTGAAAGGCTTTTTGGAAGAGCTATGCTCAGCCCTCCTTTAGAGTTCCTAAAAAGTGGAGATTTAAGGCATACTGAAGCTGTCAGCACGTGGTGGTTTTTCCTTTAATGTGTCAAACATCTTCATGAGCTCAGCACAAAGAGAGGACTGTGAAACATAAAGCAATATTTTATAAAAGAGAAAACTTGATGCGAGATTTGTGAGTGATAAACTAGGAACAAAGATATGAAAGTACCAGATAGAAAGTATTCTTAAAGTTTATTGTCTGGATGCCAGTTTGGAAGCTAGCGTAATTGAGGCTCCCACATTAAACACTTTCAGTTATTGTTTATAATGTCTCTGTTCATCAGATGGTGGTTTATGCTGGTAATTATCATTTTTGTGCTGGTTTATTGTTGTTTAACCGCATGCGAGATGGCTCTTGGCATTTCTTAACACCAGCTGTATTTGTCAAAGTTAGGAAGGTTTAATCTGCCATCATGGCTACAATAAAAGTGTTGAAATTGCAGAGAAATGCTCCCTCGGTTTCATTTTGCGCTGTTATATCACAGTATGCCATGAACTGTTGCGTTCCTTTTTTTTTTTGTTACGCTCCGGGGCCACGTAAAATGCTCCCGAGGGTCGCCTCTGCTGTGCAGGCCGCACTTCGAGAGTCATGGAGGTACGCTAACACAGACTGCAGGGTTTGCTTTGTTTGAGTGCATTGTAGTGCATTATTCTGTGTAAGCGCTTCATGATCGTGACCCTTTAGTCACTCATAACCCTCAGTGCTTAATTTATTTTTTTTATTTTTTATGTTCGTGGTTATTTAACAGGGACAGTGCATGCTAATTAGCACAAGGATAAAAATATAGCATGTAAACATGTCAGATTGAAGCAAAACTGCTAATTTACATCTGTAGTTTCTGTTATATATACAACATGCATAACAGAAGACTGAAGAACAATACAGGAAATGCACAATGCCAAGGTTGCTTTAATTTAGCATAGATGGTTTGCTGCCCTCAGACTGCGAGCTGTTTGTGACAGAGATTCTTCATGGTGAGAACCTGAGTGAATCTGCAGAAGAGACACGAGAGGTTCTGCTGAATAACTTCAGGGTCGTCCATTCAAGGTATGATTTTATCCTTTCGAAGAAGCTCTAAATCTGAGGCCCAGAAACCCACTTTTAAAAGTAATTTCAAAGACTCCGTTATCTAATTTTAGCTGATAATGCCACACAAAACCTTTAATTGTTGCTGTAATTGCTTTAAACACAGTTTGCATGATTACATTTGAAGGAGCTGATTAAGTCTAATGGTGTCACCTTCGAGACCTAATTCTTGCTCTTATTGTTAAAACAGCTTTTAAAGATCTCGTGCAATAATCTTTTCTTGATTGAGACAATTAAATGTGATTTAATTCTTGAGCACGAGCCCAAAAAAGTCAACCTCTTGTATGAAGTACTGGTGACAGCTTACTCCGGAAGTCGGCACTGCCTGCACTGCATGATAAGAGACACAAGCTCTGCTATAGAATCCTTGTGGTTTTGTGGTCTTCTGCTTAAGAAACAATTACTGAATTTCAGAAGTAATGCTGGAGCGAAGCTGTCTGAAAATGAAAGCACAGAAACCTTTGCAAGTCACTGCAAAAATGTAGTTTTTGATTTGTACCTGTTTTGGTTTTGCAGAAACCCCGAGGAGTTTCCTATAAGATGTAAGTAACAATCTCTTAATCTCCATCACATACTGTGTAGTTTTTAAAGATGAGGCCATAAAGTCTGTTGTTAATTATCTCTCTTAGTGACATTTCCTTTATCTCTCTGTTTCACACAATCACTACCACCAGCGGATTTAAGGGAAGATGAAGGCTCTGATGACAACCGCAGTTCCAGCCTGGGTCGCTCGGCCCCTTCAGACGACGCCTCAGTAGTGTCTGACTACCAGGAAGATGGAGTGGCTGACTGTAAGTTAACAGCAGTCCTGATGGCTGGTTCCTCCTTTGTGTGGGCTATTGTAGGTGCACTGCAGAGATTTGTGAGAGATGTGTGTGTTTGTCTGTGCACGGCAAGAACAAAACAAAACAACAACAAAAAACTGTTCACTTTAGTTTATGGGCCACATACAGCCCAAGTTCATCTAAACTAGACCTGACTAGTAAAGTCACTGAATAATAATATATTATTTTTGTTTTCTTCAAGAAACATTAAAAATGCAAAATGTATATATTTTGCATTTCCCTTAATTTTCTAAATAATGGCTGTGCAACAGAAGGTAGGCCAAACAGATACCACCTTACATATCTTAAAAATAGATTTAATTTAATCGCAGTCATTCCACATTTGTTGGGTCTACTCTTTTTATGTGTACATTACAGTTTACAGATCATAGTATAAAGACATAACACCTTCACAGAGGGTGTTTTGTCTACGTTTTAACAACCACCAAAGTATTACATTTCACCCTGAGCGTTACGTGACTATTTGTGTTTCTGCTAAAAGGCTATAAGTTGCTTTAAACAAAAGGTAAAGAGGAGTTGTCACTGTGTTGTGCCCTTCTTTGTCATGAGTGCAGGCGTTCCACAGGATTCATTCTTTGACCTCTTCTACTGACCATATTTAGCATAAATATTGACATTATCATATCTTCCACCCAAATCTGTGACAGGTATTGGGGGGAAATTTGGACTATTGGGAGTAGTCATAGCAAGCCTGAAATGAGAAGTTTGTCTTTGTGTGTCTATGTAATTATTGCATGAATGAATCAGTCGAGTGACTTTGGTTACAAAAATATTGCTGAGGCTGCTGCCACTTCTACCTTTCACTTTACAAACGATGTAAAATTGTTTAGTTTGCTCAGACTCGCTTTTTCAGCGTAGCTAATTTATTTCATGTGGCCAATGCAAATGTGCACCTTGAATCATGTCTTTCCTCAAGAAAGCGTCAAAAAAGAAAAGGAAGAAAGGAGAGGGAGCAAACTGAGGAAAGTCTGTTGTTAATGCGTTTCTTTCAAAAGAAAAGTGAGCTGCACGACTACCAGGTTAGCAAGGGTTTAGCTAACAGCAGGTGGTAAAGACAGCGAGCCAGTGTTAGACCGAGCACAAGTTAAAACCATGAAACTGATGGCCCTTAATTTCAGAAACGGCCAGAAAAGCAGCAGCAGGTGCGTCTCCAAATGAAAGCTTAGCAGCACTGACATCAGGCAGCATTATCCTTTATTGTATGTTGCACCAATGGTTCTCATGGCGGTGCGCCATGGGGTGAGCAGGGCATTTTTGTACAAGCCTGTTTGTTTCAGGCTGATGAAATATAATTTTAGCACAATGATAATGCCTCTTAATTTGAAAATTTTTACTTGTGTTGCGATGGGGTCATTTATTCAGCCTTTGCAGTTCTAATGAAGCACACCATCAGGCAGCACACCAACATACCTGTGTACACTCTCAGAAACATTTTCATGTATTATTAAATCACCCAGTTTATATCAGCCACCATTAGAGTGCCGTATCTCTAACTTTCGTGTTTGATCATTTAAAAAAACGTTAACAGAAAACAGCTGTTATGTCAGTTCATTGCACATATCATAAATCTAATTTATTCTTATTAATTTTAGCCATTATTAAGCTTGCTGAACCACAAGCTGCTGCAGTTTCAGTGTTACAGTTATATAAACACCAATCGGTTTGGACTATTAATTAAACTTTAACAATTATCAAGATAATTGCATTACTTACAATTATTATGATGTGCCTTGAAGATCTGGTTTGACCTCCGAAAGCAAAACTCATTTAACCATAAAGTAATCATAGACTAAAGTATGGAGAAATGTGTGGAGATTTCAAACTATGCATGAATGCATCATACGGACAGTTCATTACAGGCTAGCCTAATGACCACTAGACATTGTTGTAAATAGCTGTCAGCTCAATTGTTTATTTAAAAAATATGCACGAGAGATACGGATGGCCCACAGAGATCGCTTATGAATAGTGCCTGGAGTTCTGCGCGCTAAACCCCTGAAATGTAGTGTTTACACAGACGATACCACTTTATGTGTGTAACAGTGCTTTAAGAGCACCTTTATCCTGCCATTGTTATTTTGGTACCCTGACTGACAAATACAGTATATACAGTATTAAGCAGATGGAAGAGAGCAGCACTTCATGGTGTTTAGTTATAAGGCTCTCATTCTCATGTCTGATGCCTTGTTGCACTTAAACACAGTACTTGTTATGTCGGATCACGTGGACGTTTAGTCACTAGCTGTAGCTCTTTTTCACACTGTACTTGAAAAGATGGTTTAAATGCTTTGCAGCCTACAAACAGACCGAAGCTACGTTCTTACAGCTACAGTGAAATCTTAAAGATGATTTAATAATAACTGTGACAGGAAACAATGCAATTTTAACACACTATCCCCCGGCATTCTCACTGACACACCTACACCTCACCACAGGATGCGTAGGTTTCTCTACTTTGGCGCTCGCCCTTTTTAATTAGAACAGAATAGACCACATGTGTAAAATTTTCCTCCTTGCTGGTGTCCTACCTCTCTGCCAGGCTCCTTTAGCTCCTCCTTCCTCTGCTCTTCCTCCCTTGGTAGTGTGCAGGTAAGGCCATGCTGATGCTGGTGAAAAAAACAGTGTGGGGGGTTGTGGTGGCTGCAAAAGCCTGAATGGTGACCTAGAGCTCCCTCCAGTGGCGGCTCCTGGGCTCCGCTCCCGATCCTTGCATGTGTGTACTATGGGAGGTGTTGAGGCTGCCCACACAGAGAGGAGGCTTTGTAGCTGCAGGCTAATGCAGTGATTGATAGAAGCTGAGCCCCTCTATTCTTCCACAACCGGGTTTGAAATACAACACTGTACCTGAGGGGCCATGAGTGTTCCATCCCTCTCTCCCTGTATCAATCTTTCTTTCTATCTTCCCTTCTCTGATTCGCCTCCCTCCCATTCAGAGTTTTTGTATTTCTGACGCTATGTGCCAGCTAATAGCCCTTGACATGACATGCCGCAGGTGGGCATTATTGCCTCTGCTGCCTCAGGTGCCCATCTCCGCTGCTGTTTTAGCGTCTTTCTTGAGATAAAGCAGGGACGCATGTGGAAATTCCCAGTCGAGAAACAGGAATATTTCCAATCATTTTGGCGATACCGGTATTTAATGCCAGCTGGATGAAGTCGAGCACAAACCCCCCCGTTTATTTATTTGTAAACGGCTTAATGAGCTCTTCTGCTCACAGAAGAGTAACCGTCGCCTTTACTGGGCAACTTTGGAAAAATCGAGAAAACAAATCACGGCAGATGGCGCGAAGATAGCCGACAATAAGACCGCGATAATTCATTTTTTGAAATTGTTCATTTTACAATAAACAAGAGGACATTTGCTTTGTGGGAAACAAACAAAATCAAAGTATGAAATGCTTAAAAAAATTTTCCCTTAAGGCTATAATTGTAACACACCAAACTACAAACGGCACCGTCTGTTGCTGCGGAAAGCGATAGTTGTTACAGCTCGAAAACGCAGTCACGCCATTGTCTGTGTTGAATGTGAGAAGGAGCCAATTATCCCGAATTGCCGTAATCAGTTTTTTAATCCCCTGTTTGTATTTTGCTTTGATTTAAAAAAAAACAAACAAAAAACGCACACACATTGTACTGTCAGATCGATAATCATAACATTTGACTTTGTAAGACAAATGTTCACCTTGCAGCGCTCCGTCTTTTATTGCTGGGGGACGGCGACCATGTTAGCATAGTGAATGGCCTGTGTCCTCAGTAAAAGGGCATGCGGAGTTCATAGTTCATTCTCTGTTCACTGCCAGCTGAAAGAAATGGTTCGCACTTCTCTGCCGGGCGGTCTGAAATAATGGCGCTGGCGCTTAATGAAATCAGCCACATTTTAGGAGGAACAGTTAACCATGATATTCGAACTTTCTTTTCATTCAGAGGAACTGAAAATTAATGATAATTTTGTGGGATTCAGAGAGTAGCGATAAGGAGAAGGGAAGGTAGAAAATTGAGTTTTCTCTCTTGAGTTTAATTGTGTCATTCTTTTTTTTCTTTTTTTTTTTTAAATCCTACTGTACACAATGGAGACTTTGTGACTTGGAGGATGTATTATCCGTGGTAATCGACTGCCTGCCTTCGCCTCTCTGTGTTCCCTAACCAGAGAGTGAGTGAGTGTGAAGTCGATGGCTGCTTCTACACGCAGGAGGAGCCTGTGCCGTTTGATTAGATGCGGTGGCCTGTTGTCTTCAGCGGACTGGGTGACACCAGATTTGTAATCGCTGACAGGAACAGATGGAGCCTCCATTGTTAGCCCGGGTTGTCTGCATGGTAATGTGAACTGAGTTTCACCCGCCGACCGCACCGGTGACCTGACCGCGCCTGCAGCCTCACCCCATCTACGTCTGCCCGCTTCAGCACCCTCCACCCTTCTCTCTCTCTCGATGCTGTTTGAGGCTCAAACACCATTCCAGCACATTATGCATACATAAACAAATATAGGCACAAAATTTCCCCCTCTGGCGTGCAAAAATCTCTTTAACACACTCACTTAGACCCCAGGAGACGGTGTGTGATGTGGGGCTTTTAGCCCTGTCATGCTGTTTGCAGGTCAAGTTTACGAAGTCGAAATCGCCTGTTTGTTTTTCTTTGATTGGGGAGCACCGCTGGGCGCTCGGGGATGTTTGCTGGGAAGCTGCTGCGATGACAGAGCACTGCAGAAAGAGCTTTGTTTCAGGAGGCGTGCAGGAAAAAGATGGCGCTTTTGATACGTATCCCTTGTCTTCTTTGTGATTGTGATGATTTTAGTTTGATGTGCCGTACAGCCTGCATTATCTCAGGTGTGGCAATAAACATTTTAAATTTTAAGATTATTTAATTTGAAATGTAGGCAGGAAGGGCGGCAGCTTGTTTTCTAAAGAAAAAAAAATAGGAGGGAATTAGCTTTTTTTTGATCAGGCAGCTAA